TATGGTATGACTTCAATATAAAAAGTAGGAGATAGCACCCTCATATAACACACACTCCACAACCTAATTAGCTTTTAGAAAGTGCTTCAATCCAGAATTTCACTGTGAGATTCATGCTACTTGCTTTGCCTTTACAGCTCATGATGTCACTATCAGGGAATCTCATCTTTCAGTCAGAACCCTTCTGGGTACAGGGACATAATGAAATTATGATTGCAATTGACCTCAACCCTTTAACAGTAATGAAAGCAACAACAAGAATTAGAAAGTCAAACACCTAAAACATTTGTAGTATTTTAAATCTCTTAAGTTTCATGCAGATCACATTATAACTGGAAGTTTTGGAAGTTTTTTTGCCTCAGACCTTTAGCAAAAAGAATTATCGAACAGCTATTTCCACTGTTGTCACTGCTCTTCCCAGGATAGAAGTTGATACAATAGACTAAAAGCTGTGCTCAGCATATGTGAAACTACATCAGAGTTTTTTCAAAATGATGGGTGAATCTCTGTGAAGGAAAATTGCTTCTTCAAGCCAAGGTACAGACCTTAGTACACAGACCAAGTACAGACCATATTCTGGCAACAGAGGCAGAACTGTGCACTCTACCCTTCCCTCATTGCTTATCTTTGTTCCAAAACTAAAGGACAAACCCAAAGACACACTTAAAATGTGGAATTACTGAATTGCACAGGGGGCAGCATGCTCAGCCCTTCCCTGCCTCCACCTCTGCTTGCCCACGCAGCCTCCATAGGGCCTGTGGTGCAGGATATGGGGCTCCACACAGGACTTTTCATCCTGCCAGTACCTCAGCGGAGGTGAGAGGGAGGAAAAAAAACCTCACGCTACACTCTCCATTAAGAACAGGAGTCTTGGTAACCACATTCAGTAAGTGCAGCAGCATAGGAAGAAGTCACAGCACTCACTTTTACAGAATTGTGAACAGTTTTGTCAGCTAAATTTAAGCGTGTGGTAGAAAAGAGCCTAGGTTTTTGTTTTTATGTGTGCCTGTTCAGAGCTCCAAGTAATTTCAAGTCTGTGCAGCAGACCTAGAACCTGACCAACTGGACTGTGCTACCCTGCAAAAAAACAGTGTATTTCTAGTCCCTGTGCCTCGCCCAAACAAGTGGCCTATTTCCCAGAACCCAGTTGCTGTAATTACCTAAACAGCTGGTCGATTTAACATGTCCTCTGAACAGAGCAATCCACCACATTGCCTGCCTAGAACAGGAGCTGCTGTGAACACCTTCGATGGCGTTTTTTATTAGGCTTCTCTCCTTACATCAATTGCAAATCCCAAGAGGAGCTGTCCCAGTGCCCTAGCTGCAGCTGTGCAAGGAGGAGACACAGCGAGTCAGACAAATACGACATCGCACACAGAGGATGAAAGGGATGAGGTTGATACGTGTGACCCATGTGCGATGCCTGCCCGCCCTCCGTGACAGGCGCCCGGGAACAGCAACACGCAGCTGTGCCAGGGATGAGAAAGCCCCGGGAGCGGGCCCGGCCTGAGGACCGGCCCTACCTGCAGTCCTGTCCTGGTTTGAGCCTGGATGAAGCCAATTTTCCTTTTACTGATATTTTTTTCCTTCAGCAAGCTTTCTTTTAACTAGTCAGTGTGTTCTAACTAAGGGTGATAAGGCAGGGAATGTTTTTTTAACTGCTGGGTCTTCAAGGTCGCACCTTCACTCTGCCGGCTCAGACACTATAGGGAGATCTATGATCCCCTGTAGGAGGCTGAGTTAGACAAACAGCAAAATTGGCCAGAGATATTCCATTCCATATGTCTATATAAGCTCAGAGGAAGGTCAGAGATCACAGAAGACAACTTCCTTCCTGCTTCTGCTTCCCTTCTCTTCCGTCCATGGCCGGCGTCCAGGGGGGACTCCATCCATCCATCCATCCGTCCATCCATCCATCCATCCATCCATC